ATAGGCAGCCTTTTGTTTGAGTAACTGAAAGTGAATCTAATTGAGTAGTGATCAACCGAAATTCTGTTTCGGCCAAAATTTCAATTTGAACCGATACCAAAATTTCGTTATTTTTTCTAATTTCAGTAAAAAAGCAAAATTTCGGTTCAAAACCAAAAATCGGAACATTGAAGGATGCCCTATCGACCTCATCTAAGTTATTCAGGCGATTCTTTCACACGTGTACAAAAGTTGAAATCCAGAAGTTGCTCAAAAAAAATTTTGATTCAAAACCTTACATTTTGTTTTCTCTTTTTTTTCAAGCCGTTTGAATTTATTAAACCCAATATGTTTAAAATTTGACAAGATATTTAAAAACAATATTATTAGGTTTCTTGCAAAATAAGTTCTTTGAAACATGTCGTAGGGATCCCTGCTAGCATACCATGTTGGGTTAACGTAGTATACTTGCAAAACAACGGTTCCAATGTTTGACCCAACGTATTAGATTGAGTTAATATGCATATCATCCCTAGCTGGGATATATGCATATTAACTCAATCTACTATATTGTTATACTTTTCCTGCAACCAATCTCTTTTGATAGTAATAAAGATAATGACAATTATATACATAGAATAAACAAAATATTTATATAAAATTCTCAAAGAAATAAACTCTAATAAAATTTACCTATAGGCGGCAGTAATTTATGTATTAAAAATTATTTATTACTTACGTGGTTTAAAAACTGAATACAGTATACAGAACATCAAATAAATAAAATAATATAGGTTATTAACAATCAATCTGTAATAAAAATAATTAAATATTCAAGCTAAGTAATACAAATGCATTTATAAAACTGCTTTAGTTAGTTCATCAAAAAAATAATTTTTTAAATTTTTTTAAATTCACTTTCAACAATGCTGCAAACAATCACTATTAGAATTGAAAGTTACTGGAAGAAAAAAGATGAAATTTATAGAGCAAGATAATGATTGACAGATCACATAAAAGATTGCAAGTTATATAAATCAGGAAAACAAGATGAAGGAAGAGAATTCTAAAGAACTGATGTTCCAGGAAAAAAACTAGACAAATGAAAATTTTTGGAACGCTTAGGAACAGTTACAGTAAAGAGACTTAATTGAATGATAAGTAACACAAGAATGAATTTTAGTTGATGGTACGAGAGGTGCTAGCTCTTTAGAGCAGTGCCCATTATAGTGTTTATAGAAAAGAGAAAAAAAAAACATTACAACAATATTATAAAGGTTATAGGTGGGCTGTAAAAGCAGGTCCAACTATGTTTACAATGCGTTTTTGCACCTTGTCTAAAAAAGAAAGGGCATCATTGGAATATATGACAATAGTATTCATTTGGATTTGAGATTTATAAAGATAAAGAATAGAATCATGAGTAAGAAAGTGGCGAACATGATAAAGAAATGCAACCTTAGCAGATGTTAATTTTGCAATTGATTTGATATATGGTTTCCAAGAAAGATCGGAAGTGAGAGTTAATCCAAGAAGATAAAGGGTAGATGACTCATCGAGTACATTACCATTTATAAATATAGGAATATCTAGAGAATTGTGACAACAATTAGCTGAAAAAAATTGAGTTTTACCTCATGCTGTATTAGAAGTGAGATCCTTTTCAAGCCTAATTACCCCCTCTATGCAAGCAGAGAGTGTTGGCCTCTTCCCAAGACAAAAATAAATAGTAGTATCATCAGCGATCAATGTTATTTTAGATGTCAGGGTTGGACAGAAACTATGTGCAATCAAGCACTATTGCTGACCATGCAAATGATTTTTTTTTTTGACAACTTGACTGTTTAGATGTTTAGATGATTTTTAAACATTTTAGAAATGCGCTAAAAAAAAAAAGCTCAATAAACTTAAACTTGGATGGAACTTGAAAAAATAATAATGAAAAAAGAAAACAATTTTATACAAAAAAGAAATTATAAAAGCACTAAAATAAAACTCCAAAAACTTAAACTTGAAGCGAAATTTACATTTTGTTATGTTTTTAATTGCGTTTAAAATCAAATTAATGGTAAAACTTATCTTTTGAAATGTTTTATTAAAGTTACGCAAAATGTTTTTACAAATTACTTCTAATGATTGTTTAATGAATGAACAAATTTTATTTAAATTATTAAAAAGTGTTATATATATACTATTTTTAAATTGTATAAACATTTATTATTTTTAGGAGAAATTCTGGAAGATTGTTAATGTAAATTAAAAAACTTTAACAAATCAGCAGTTGAACGAGAAGATCAAAATCCATATTGACGATCAGAAAGTAAGTTAATAGATTTAAGATAAGAGATTAAGTGTTTACAAATTAAAGACACAAAAACCTTGCTTATGATAGGAAGTAGAAAGTTCCAGTTCAAACTTGCTTAAGTTCTAGTATTCAAACTTTTTGTTCAAAATTTTTTTCAAGTTCTTTTTAAGAGGTTCAACTTTTTTTTCTCTAAAAGTTTGAACATTTATATATATGAAATTTAGGATCTTTATTATCAATTTTAACTGTAAAATCCAAACTTTTTTAAACTGTGACTTTTATAGACAGTTTTTGTTGTGCAATTTTTTTTTTTTAAAAGTAACACTTTCAAAGTTTAAGTCACAAATGGAATATGTAAACAAATAATTAAGAACATTTTAAAATTAAAATAGTTGTATATGTTATATATTTTTAATTGTTTAACAAATACCATGGTGAAATAGATTGTTAAAATTTCTAAATTAAAAAAAAAAGAATGAGTTAATAAAGCTTTGACAAGTTAAAGTTTTAGTTGTAGAAAATAAAAAATATAGATAAGTTTATTTATAAATACACTGGTCAACAAAGTTTTTTTTTCAGCTGATATAATTATGTCTCTCTATTTAATTCGAGCATGCTAAATCCAAAAATTGCATTAGTTTTTATCTATAGGCTTAATGTCTTGGAATATTCAAAAAACACTCTTAGTGTAAATGCTGCTTTTCCTATAAAGAAATATAAAACAACACATAAATAAGATATTGGCCAAAATACCTTCATTCCATTTTTCTTGATACCTCTTCTTCGTGGTTCGAATCTCCTGATGAAACCTTTTACCACGTTCATCTGAAACTGCACCTAAATTCTCTGGGAAAAAGTAAAGATGAGAATCCAGGAAATGTAGCTTTAACAACATTTGATAACCCAGTCCTTGATAATGCTTCATAAGTATTTCTACCAGATTCTTGAAAGCATCTGTCCTGTTGTTTTCCAGGATGTTATGAACCACAAATTAAATGAATGCCAAGCATTGCGTTTAGCTGGTGTAAGAGTTTCCAAATTTCCTACCTTTTACGAGCTCTAATATTTGAGGTCCATCAAACATACCTTCTTTAATCTTTGCCTCAGAAATGATTCAAGAGAACTTTGTTTGGACGTACTTAAAGCCAGCACCATTTTTATTCATTGTTTTTATGAAATATTTTATCAAACCCAATTTGATATGCAAAGGAGGAAATAAATTTTCAGCGGTTCAAACGTACAGATTATATGGGCTATATATTATGTACGTTTGGGCCATATCTTCTTTACATAAAGAATGTTAGCGTCTTGACTATCCCAGAGGCAGAGGAAACACATATTTTTAGTAAAACCCAATTGCAGTCTAAGCAAGAGGGCAATTAATTTAAGGTCACTACAAATAATCCACTTGTGGCTGCCATAGCTAACACAATCAAGTACAGTTTTCATTGTCCGCAGTCCCACGTTATTTTATCCTTTGTCTTTAGAGAATGTCCCTCAATTTTTGTTGAACAAAAATAGCAGTCAGTGGTATGATCTTGTGGCTCCTTCCATATCATAGGAATGGCAAATGGAATGCCAGTTGGTCTTTTTTCATCCAGCCATTTAGTCAAACACATGTAGCAGTTGGTGCAATTATACTGAGGCGCCCATTTTTTGCCATGATTTCCCACCTTATATCCAAAATAGATGTCGTAAGCAGTAAGAAATTTTTAATTCATTTTGATCTTCTGTTGTTTGCAGATTGAAGAAATCCTGCAGATTGAAGAAATCCAGCAATAAAATACAAATAGGATCTATTTTTTGCCTTATTTTTTACTGTAAATTGAATAGAAATATAAACTTACATTTACACAATTTAAAAAAGGAATGTTTGAAATTGAAAGTGTGTAAAAACTATAACTTTAAACTGATTTAAGATAAAAAACAAAATTTAAAATTTCAGAAAAATATGGACCTGTAGGATCAAAATTGATTTTCTTAATCAGCTCAAAAATCTGATCTAGAAAAATCTAATGCTGTTAATTGAATCTAAAAAAAGTTTTTTTTTGTTAACCAGTGATATTAACAAAAATTTAATTAAAAAAATAAATAAAAATATAAAAAATAAGAATAAAAAGAAAAACTTTATAATAGTATTTTTTAAACTAATAATTGCCTTTCTCAAAATTAATAATTGCATTTCTCAATCCCTAACTCAAACAGTCAACTTTCCAACTCGCTTTCAAGACACCAGGAATCATTTACCTTCTCTACTCGACTTATGTCTTGTTTCTGATCCTAGTCAGTGCTCAGTTTCTCCACATTTACCCTTAGGTGCCTCTGATCACAGTTGATCTCTCTAAAACTATTATCTCATTCTTCTTTATCATCAGAATCATCCTATCATCGTACCAGACATGGGTCAATTACAATTGTAATCGTAATTAATTGTAATTAATTACAATTTATAAAGTAATTGTTATTAAAAGTAGTTTATCTCTTTAACCAATTACATGTAATTGTAATTTTAATTAACCCATGTGTAATTGTAATTGCAATTGCCTTGGTGTAATTGAAATATTTCAATTACATTTATTTTTCATGAATCTGTTTAATTTATATTAATTAAATCTTTTTCCTGTTTACTTGTAAGCTATAATGAACAAAAGTGAGTCAGATTTTAATTTAATTTTCAAATATTATGAAATTGATTCTATCACTGATAAAGGTAGCTTAAAACCAAATGGTGACAATGTAAAAATAAGATGCAAAACATGTGGAAAGTTTGTTTCATACTCATAAAGGCAAATTCAAACCTTTGAATTTACCTGTTGGTAAGTGAAATAATATTACAATACCATGCACTTATAGCTATTAATTATTACATGTACTTTGCAAAATTGAAAAAATAGTTTATTAGAGGGTTATTCATTCTAATATGCGTGTCTATTCATTTTTATATGCGCCTTTATTCATTCTTATATGCGCATTTATTCATTTTTATATGTGCCTTTATTCATTTTTATATGCGCCTTTATTCATTCTTATATGCGTGTTTATTCATTCTTATATGCGCGTTTATATATGCGCCAACCACCCATAAAATCTCTAATATAATTTAATATAAACAATAAATACGCTTTTAAATTTTTATATAGATATATTTAAAATATAAATTAGGTTGTTTTCATAGTTATTTATTTAAGAAATGGTTGCCGAGCCAGCGCTGGATTTATGTAACTACACATATGGTTGTAAAATGGAACTATATTAAACTCTGTAGTATCCATAATATTTTTAAGATTCCTGATTACCTCATCCGTATTTCAAGGCCTTTCTCCCTGTTTGTAAGTATGTTTTAAAGAAAAAAAAAACTTATTTTATTGGTTTAAGCTGTGGCGTGTATGCTTAATGTATGTGGCAGATACTTAATAGCTATACCATGAGAGGCTATTTACAATTGGCTATTTACAGTGGAATTTACAATTGTCCATAACAAGCACCGGCGCTTCCACATTTGCATTCCTAATCGCTGGTGCGATTTTGTTGCGAAATTGTAGTTATGAAAGTACAAAATAAATCTGCATTCCAGCCTCCAGTTTTTGTTTCATAAGCAAGCACTCCAATTGTTGAAACAGCACAAATTAAATTAAGATTATTGCCACGATTTGCAGGTGACTGTAGAATTGCTGGCGTACCTCTTAGCGAATAACCATATGTGCTGTTAGTGTGAACATTAAATCCAGTTTTATCCAAATAAATAAGTTTTTCATTTGAAATTCCGTTAATTTTGCTTGCAAATGCATAGCGTGCATTAATAATTCGTGTTGAATTTCATTCTTCTGGCACATGCACAGCACGTTTTCTTAATAAATCCGAACATTTGAGTTTTCTTGAAATAGTAGGCTGAGACATGTTGAAGCCTGCTGCAGAAAGATTTTCTTTTATTGCTTCTTGCGTGCAAAGATTGTTTTCTTGTACCCATAATTCAATAATATTTTTTATTTGAGCGTTTAAAGGTCTTTTACCTCATTTTTTTATCAGAAAACAACTTAAATGCAGTCACATCGTCAAATTATCCTCTGTTTAACTTAACGACAAGATTTTGAAGTGTGCGCTTTGATAAATTAAGAGAATTGCAAATCCTTGTTGTAGATTTATTTCTTTTAATTAAATGCTTAAGCATTTCAATGTGCTCTTTTGTAACATTTTTCCTTATTTTACGATTGGTACTGCTATTTTCTATTCCATCCATAGGGATGTATAATTTGATATTAATAATAAGTATAAATAATTAAATTTAAATCTAGATAAATGAATAATTGGATAAATAATAACTTAATCAATCAAGAAATTTTTAGCCTCGTTTACCAGGAAATAAGAAAAATTTGTTTTGAAAAAATAAACTGTTTTTTCAAAACAAATTTCTTAAATGATTTTTTTTTGTTTAAATTGCTTTTTTACAATTGCTTTTGTAAAACGCATATAAGAATGAATAAATGCGCATATAAGAATGAATAAAGGCGCATATAAAAATGAATAAACGCGCGCATAAGAATGAATAAAGGTGCATATAAAAATGAATAGACACGCATATAAGAATGAATAATTGTAAAATAATCTACATTATACAGATTATGTAATATTTATATAACTATGTTATAATTATTCTGTAGTTTCTGTTGTTTTTATTTTTAGCGTAAACTCACTCTGAAACATGCAGAATATCGAACATGTAAGCGTAATGAATGGAGTGTTAACAACAGTAACAAAGGAGAAAGTAACCATACAATCTCTCTAGATAACTTTCTGTCATAAAACACTAAAGAAATTTAATTCTTCAGAACTGCGTCAATTGAAAATAACCATAGCTCTAGTTGATGTTATTAGCTGATAACTTATTGCCACTTTTATTAGTTGAAAGTGAAGAGTTTGCAGCCCTAATGAACGTTCTTGAACCGTGTTACAATTAACCAAGTAGAAAAATCATATCATCAAAACTAATAAATGATCGTAAAAAATATATTGAGGATAAATTGTGTGCAACATTTGGTAGCATAAACAAAGTGAGCGCTACTGTTGATATATGACAAACCAAATTATGCATTCTTTTTTTGGGATTTACAGTGCACTACATTGAAAACTGGAAACTCAAACAAGGGTTGCTGTCATGTAAAGACTTTTCAGGCCTTTATCAATTTATCCTGCTGGCTTTCAGGCCTTTATTCAATTGATCCTGCTGGTGATAATGACATTGAAAGTGATGCAGAAGATGGATCTTTTGATGCAGATGCAGAAGCAATCGATGCAGAAGCAATTGAAGACACTACAGAAGAGCTACTGAGCTGCATACCGGATAGATTTGCCTGCTTCACTCATACACTACAATTGGTTATCAAAGACGGTAGAAAAAATTGTAGGCAAGTTGAAAATGCTATTGGCAAGGTTGCATCAATAGTAAACTCTGTTCGCAAGTATACAGTTTCCAGTGAAATTTTACACGACATGGATTACAATCTCAGGTCAGCTAATGTAACCAGGCGGAACTCTCAATTGAAAATGGTGTGGTCAGTTTTGAAAGTGCCAGAAACTAAACTAAACTGAAAGAAGCAGTCAGAGGCCTTCTGGGACCTGTGACAAATAGAACATTGACCACCATTGAGCGCATATTACTGAAAGAATACGTTGAAGTAATGCAGCCATTTGAAGAAGCGACCAACTGTGTCCAATATTTTTCCTAGTATAGGCGGTTTACATTTTAAACTAGAACCAATTTGTTCTGTTTATTGCAAGCAACTGATCACTGATCTTTTGATGTTCATAAAATGAACAAGAATTTATACTGACTGTTTTCTAATATCAATAACTTTGGCATTAAATAAAGCAGCACAGCAAACGTGACTTGTTGTAACTGTTTTCTTGTCAACAGTAATTGTAATTGAAATTGTAATTGTAATTGAAACTATGCGACACAATTGTAATTGTAATTTATTTGATCCAAATATAAAATCATGTAATTGCAATTGTTATTGGCAAACTTTTAAGTAATTTTAATTTAATTGTAATTGAAGCTCATGTAATTGACCCATGTCTGCATTGTACATCTTACAACTACCTTAAAGCTGACTGGGACTCTTTCTGTAATTTTCTTTGTGATAGCCCTTGGGTAGAAGTCTTTCGTCTTCCTGTTGGCAAATGTCCTTCTTACATAACTTCGTAGATTCAGGTTGGCATGGAATCCTTTATTCCCTCTCAACGATTCCAGGTCTTCTCAATGGTTTTCCTCACATTATATTGCTGCAATTGCCAATCGAAATCATTACTTCCGTATCTATCAGCAAAAGAACTCTCCAGAAAACAGACATTTGACTTTTTATTACTGCTAGGAACCATTATAAAAAGGTTTTGTCGAACGCCAAAGCCCGCTATTCTCAGGTCATGAAATCTCGTATTTCATCACAAAAATTAGGCTCTTGTGACTTCTGGAGATTCTTTAATAGTATCAACAATAAGGACAAGTCTGTAATTCAACCTTTTTTGTATGGTACAGACTTTGTCACCTAACCTAAAGACAAAGCAGAATTGTTTGTTAGGAACTTTCATCAACACCATCTCTTGATTCCACTAGTTGGGTACTGCCATCAAACAGGTTGATCCATTGCTTGACATCCGTATCAGTGATTTCTGGCTTAGACTCTACAGCTTGCAGCCCGGACAACATACCTGTTATAGTCTTGCAGAAGTATTCTGCGGAGATGTCGCCTATCCTTTCAAAACTATTCAACAAGTGCTTATTAGAGTCTTGTTTTCCAGCCTGCTGGAAAGCAGCATCTGTTACCCCTATTTTTAAAAATTCTCGAGAGCGAGTTGAATATAACTACCGCGACAATCATTTGGCTGCCCAGTTGCTTCTGGTAAGACTTATTTGAGATGCTCCAGGTTTGCTGACGGAGGGTGCGGAAAGAAAACCAAGCAGTTAAATACAAACGTCTGTATTCTGAGGGACAGGCTTGGTCGGGAAGGGGGAGCAATCGCTCTCGATTGCTGACCATATAAATAATATTTAGTTGCGAAAAGCTGGCCAAATTTTTTAGTCGTTTTGAGAACATTTTAAAAAGCAAAAAAAAATGAGACGAAGATTATTTGGACCAATGAGAGACAATCACAAAAAAAAAAAAATTAGGCATATAAAATATCTTTAAACGCGAAAAAAATAAATTACATTTAGAACAAATATTTTCAAAACATCGCTGTTTTTTATATAAAGTAACAACTTGCGATTGCTTAAAAGGGAAGCAAATATTCTTTATTTAACAAAGTTTGCAAGTTTTAGTTTTATTAAAGTTAAATTATTTTATAAATAAAAAAGTTAATTTTTTTAATACCTATTTTATGTTTTGCGTAGTTTGAAAAGTTTAACATATTTGAAGCGATTCTTCTTAGTAAGATAAACAAATGAAATAATTAAATCATTGAATTACTATAGGAATTAAATTATCAAGATAGAAATCAACTAAAAAGGTTAAAAATATGTAATGACCAGGAAGCGAAACTGCTTCATAATATCGCTGATGATATTTAGTGAGTGGGCTTTTTAATTTTAATTAGTATTTAAAACAGAAAAAGTATAACGAGTTTTAAGAATGGCAACTTAAACGAAAATAATTAGAGTTAGTAAACCAATATCTAGAAACTTTTCTTTATATCTAATTATTTGCTATATATATTTGTGTTCTGTCATGACCTCAGGCGCGGTGCTTGTTGATCTGCGAGTTACTTTGTATGCG